GGGACACCCCAGCCCCCTTTTCCACTACCACCCCCTCCCCGTTGGTGTCTCTTGAAGACAATCAAATCCGTATCATTTAAGATCGTCATCTTTACGTGTATATAAAACGGCGGCAAAATCTGGGCTGGAACTTATTAATTGCACGAGAGGTGGGCCAATAATACAAAGGGACCGCCGTGTAGTGCCGAGATAAATTGGAATGCCAAGCCATGCGTGTTGGATTGGTCCGCATATAGAGTCGGCCGCCACACACCGCACGCGCGCCACGGACTCTCATTATCTCTAATACGGTTATAATTAGAGCTGGAAACGATACCAAAATGCCTGCACGACTTGTAAAAATGTACACACGACGAGGAGATTTTTTCTCTCTCCTATTATCAACAATTGTCTCGTAAACAAACAGTGAGAACCCGTGTGTTGGATGGAAGTACCTGCGATTTCGGCCGAGGAAGATATCCAGGTTAATATACACCGGTTTTTAATTAATTGTGTTGAAAAGGAATTGAAGGTGACGCTGTGGAGATGTGTTTTGATGAAATGTTTGGGAAAGAAGGTAATTATACTCTCTTATACATACACATGTATTCGTATACAGGAGGTCTATCATGTTGTGAGTGGCATAGGCTGGCTGATAAACACAAATTCATCCCGATCATTGTAAAGCGTAATTGGCAAACTGTCCTTTCCAAACATTACAAAAAAAGGAACTGCAGTAATTATTTCGTAATCAACTTTCAATGGGCTGCAGTCAATAATATTATGACAATAATACCGCAACAAAGGAATGTCTGAAATCATACTTGTTTAAACAAATTTACAGGTTTACAGTTAAATTCCATTCAACAGTGACATATCTAAAGTATAAACAGGTCGTAAATGGAAAACAAAATTGTATATTTTATTGCCATTGAAAAAAAGAAAGGAAACAACACTAAATTTTACTAAATTAAAACGTTTAAAATGCGTCAACGCGAAGTATCGCCTGCTTTTCACCATCCAAATAACTTCTGCAAAGAGGGATTTCCTTAGCTTCTGCGTTTATTAAGACTATGTTATTCTCTGTTTTAATAAAGAAAGAGACATTTGTTTTTCGTTTTGGTTTTTGGTTTTCTGGTTTGTTGTTTTCGTTGTCGTTGTTGTTGTTGTTTTAAAGGAAAGAAGCCATCTCAAAGGACGAGTTTTTGGTAAAAACTCATGAAACACTTAACTTTTGTGTAAGCGAAGAACTACGCTATCTATCCAAGTAACTCTCAGAAAAGAATCTTGCCTAAGAATGTACAAAGACGCATCAGTGTCCGCCTAGACCAGAATATTGTGAGAGATTATGAGAAAGCGTCCATTGTAGGTCTGCAGTGGTGTATCTCCCCCAGCTAGTTTCTCGAGCTTGCAGCAACTGGCTGGCCAGTCGACCCTCTACATATTAGGATGTTTTTGTCGATCCGCAGGTGCCCCCCAAAAAAATCATTGGAGACCCCCTCCGGGCCCTCCACTGAATAAAACCTTTGCTTCACCATGGTCAGGCAATCTTTCAAAATCCAATGTGTGATTATACTAGGTAATACTTTTTGGGACTGATTATAATGACCTAAGAAACCATGAGCAGGCGCGGATCGAGAGGGGGAGAAGGGGGTCGGTAGGGGTCAAACCCCTCCCAGCTCTGACTCATTTTTTTATAGAAATAAATACAAAAATCGTGTGAACCCCCCCCCCCCCCCCCCCCCCCCCGCTGCGACACCCAACAAAAATTATACTGGTAATTATACTATAATACTGTGCACAAAATTCAGACAGAGCCAGCTGGGTTATTCATTTTGTACACTATTCTATTAAGAAATGGTGTTAATGGTGGTTGGATTTGAACAGAGCCCATTGAAAGTATGGTACGACCCCCACCCTACCCAACCCCTCCCCCAACCCCTCCCCCACCCACCCCCACCCCACCTATTGATTTTACGGGAGCCAATTGTCCAGAGAAAAAAAAACCCTGTCTACATTTCAGCATTGATTTGCTGATGACCCCCACCAACCCCAACCCCCCCCCCCCCTTCAAAAATTCCCGGATCCGCCCCTGATGAGTTCTCAAAAGGAGTAAAAAGCGAGGAAAAAAGTGTTCTGTATTGACTGGTATATTATTAGCATACTTACACGGCTACACGGTCTAAGTTATGCGCAGACGCAAGATTAATTTTCAGCGGTCGCCTGCCGGCGGGGAAGACGAACGCATGCGCAGTGTTTGCGCAGCTAAGTTAACGGATGGCTAGCCGTGTGCGGGATGCGTGCAGCCCTATGTGGCTCGCTGTCATCCCCCTATTGGAAACAAATTAGTTTCCTCTCCAAAAGATGGGCACTTGTTTAATGTTCTCACGCCTCCTCAACCAATACCTCGTCAGTTTTTAATATATATTTTTATAGATACAAACAACTGTACTTTTCCTGCCGTAGACAAATACGCACACAAAAACCAGGCCAGTGTGAATATCATTCCGTATAACACGCACAGAGATCGTGACATAAAAAAAAACATCGCAAGAAAAACGGACCAAAAAAACACGAACAAAATTGATCAAAAGAATTGGGTGTATCACGACGGCGCCGATGCGCACACAATCTTCCCGCCAAAACGGAAGATATTAAAGAGGATACGAGCTGAGCGGTTGGAGATGGTGGATGTGAGGGTGTGAATTTCTTCCTTTGTGTTGCCGGGCAACGGATGATACGTGGGCCGTCTGGCGTGTTCTCGCACAGCCACAGGTGGGGGCGGGGGGGGGGGGGGGACTCAGATTGGTTTCATCACCCCTGGAATGGATTTGTGGGGTTTAAATGGATTCGTGATTTTATAGTTAAAAACTGTGTAGGCCTGTTATCGGATTTATCCAGCGGGTTTGAGGATTGAGAAAATGATTTCATTTCCCTCTTGTATTATGTAAGCAAAGAGAAACACCACTGTTTGAAAAAACTCATCAGAAATCCTTCAAGATATAATAAAAGCAGGATTGAGCAAGATACAGGGTGTCCTCTCAAAACGTAACCCCAAAACAAAGGTTAATATGAACAAACTATAAACTTATGACCATTATTATGGTTTTGTCATAAACTATAGTGGAAGTAAGCTTTCCAGTGATATCTTGGGTGCTTTCCTCATGTATCACCGAGTTTCATTGTTTTGAAAATGGTATGTGACACCCGAGAAATTAAACCATAGCAGCTCAGGGGGGGGGGGGGGGCCCAGATATGGTTAGCCGAGGTGTGGCATAATGAAATTGAGGCGTGGCATATTTTTGACCGAACTAATTTGTATTGAGCTGTCACCAAGATCATTTCGTCAGGGAAGATGCATCATTAACGGTCACATGTGTATTGTTAGTACACATGTATTGTTAATGCTGGTATACACACTATCAGCAGGTACTCAATTGGTGTTATATATTCTCAAAAGTGAAGCTCCCGATTTTGACATTTTCCCCATTTTTTTTTTAAAGAAAAACGATTCCCTCTTTTAAGATTTGGTTGATATGCAAATGACCTGGTTGCCATAAAGTCTGCTTCCGCATAATGGCATATAATCAGTGTTCCGCCACACACAAATCGCCCACAACAGTCGATACATTGAGTTTTAAATACCGAATTGATAAGAAGGGACGGAAAAGTGAATCCGTTCATTTTAATCACTTCAATTTATATCCGCGGCTGCCATTTCTTTTCTCATCGTGACGATAATGAAAACCAGTAAATCAATGAGTAATGTTGATGAAAGAATCTTGGCTGGGAGGCCGTATATTATAACGGAGTTAAATCATTAAACTGGCAAACGAACAAACAAAAAACAATACTCCGTCGCTGCGCTGGATTTAATTTGCAGTTCTCTCGTGCATTGATTCCATTCAATCAGCAAGAAAGAAAACAACCAAACAAAATGATAATGTAATAATAACGGTGATTTGTTTGGTTAGCGTGTCTTTATCGCTTCCTGGTCGTGCGTTGTTAATTACCAGCCCAGATTGGTTTAGAGTGTCATTATAGTATTAGGATCAATAGCGCTCGTTATCGCTTAATGAACAAAGGAAATGAGGGAAGGATCTGAGCTAGAAATCTGGGTCTGGGAGCCTGTTATTAAGTCATTAGATACTGGATTCCGTGCAGGTGTAAATTGGACAGGAAAATTCCACTTTAGTCACGTACTGGGGAGTTTGTCTTTATTATGGTCAAACACATTCTTGTGTTAATTAGCGATCCTGTAAGGTTATAAGTAACCATTAGAAGTATGCAGTGGTTTCTTTCTTTGGTGACAACCGAGCGTTCTGTCTGACTTGTCCAATCCGATGGTAGCCCTCGCTGACGTAATGCAATTCTTCAACAGACCAGCCAATCAATAATTAAACAAATCTGACAATGAGATTAAATTAAAAAAGAAAAACATCTAAATATTCACTCCCTTAATGTCCATATTCTTCCCTATGTCAAATTGATTGGTATCTTAAAATGAAGAGCCGGGTAATTAAATCTTCAGAAAAAAAGTCACCAAGACTCATTTAATAAAATCTGGTCACAAATAAATAAGCTTGTGGAACACGTTAAGAAAGGAAATCCAATGATTTTCCTCTCTTTTTGTAGCCATCATGTTTGCCAAGGGCTCACAAAGCAACAATACATCTTCAGCGACGCTTGGTGGACCAATGACAGCCTCGTTCAACATTCCACCAATCACTGACCACGCCCACTTAACCCGACACTTAACCAAATCCGCAAATTCCTTTCCTATCCTGTCTAATCAATCATCCTCTCCACCCCAACCACCCCCCCCCCCGAAAAAAGGGACATGATATTGTCATTTTGTTTTTCAATTCCATATTGCCCATCGATATTATCATCCGCTTAGCAGCGCCCAATTTCGATTGTGCGAATGCAGGGAGGCGTACGCGACTCGAAAAGCGCCTGTTGCATTTTTTCGAGAGCAAAATTCCCCGCTTGAAAAACGAGGGGCTGTACATTGTAACCAACGCACGCGACCCTATTGTGTTGCCTTGTTGACCAGCGCCCTTTCGAATGCAATTAATAACACCTTATAGGGTTTAAATTGACGGGCCGGGCGAGGGGGACTGACAGTCTAAACCCCCGGCACCGGATCTGTTGGCTCGCGGTCGAACGATTGCTGCGGGGCGAGATTAACACCGAGAATCTTTTCCTACTGTTGTGCGGGAGCGCGCACGCCGCCAGGCACCGCCCGGGGCTACACGGCGCGCACGACGGCGGGGAGTATTTCAGTTTGCTCGCCGGAGACTTGGCATGTATTTTGGTGGTGAGTATATCACAACAACGTTAGAAAATCCGTGATTAGGCCGGCTCTCGTGATAAGCCTATTTTAAAAAGTCTTTGAAGATTGTGACCGGCTGTGCGTCGAACTGACGATATTGGTAAGCGATATTTCAGAAACTGGTATGAAATTTCAGAGATGAAATTCTGGACGGATTTTTAACTGAAAATTAATCATCCAGTTTAACTGAAATTCAACTGAATATATTTGTTTAAACATAGAAGTTTAAGATACGGTATTTACAAAGATGGTAAGCCTATAAGTCTATAACAAAACAATTTTGATGACTGGAATTTAAAAATGTCGTGTTAATAATTTGTTTTTTTTCTAGACGTAATCTCTTGAAAAAATCATGAATTTATTCCCACACGTACTGAATCGTTATAATTTATCTACATAAGGCCTTAACACGAAACGTCATCTTTTAATCCAATTGAGTGTTTTTTTTAAGAGCTGCAGTACATTCGCACTAGAAAGACAATAGTTTTTGGCCCAGAAAATACTACAATTTTTGGTCGAAAGCCATCGTCTTTCTAGTGAGACTGCACTGCGGCTAATACACTCTTCAAAAATCGAAGTGGTTTAAGATTGGCGATGTTTAACATGCCCAGCTAGTTTCCTATAGGCACTCGCTGCCCAAAATCACGCCGAGTTTTACAATTTTTGTGTAACATAATGCACAAGTCTTCTGGACAAAGACCGAACTGACGACATGGATTCTGGAGTATAGACTAACGATAATGTATACTGTTAAAAAGTGTAGTCCATAGATTGAAATCTGCTTGTGGTTTTTCTCTTCATATTTTCAGAAATATTCTGTAACATATTTCGATAAACTGCGATATCGGGAAGCGATAATTGTACTTGGAAATGCGCTTTAATTTGCAGTGTGTTTTGCCTGAAGGCAATTTTGGAAACTCAATTCAAGCATTTAATTCAATCACTAAAGTACCTCTTGTGGTCACGTTCTGGAGAAAATGTAGCCAATTTTACAAAAAGGGTAAAGGCACTCTTTTATCCGATGTGTTTAATTATTCCAATTATATATAGGTTTACCTGATAAAGAAAAATAATTGCTTTTTCAGTTCAACGCCAATCGCCACATGAGACGAATGTCCCGAAACTTAATTGTACGAATCACTGACGCTACAATCGCGAATTAGACTGGACCATGAAATCTACTTATACAAATTCGAATTTGTAATTAACAAAGTGAGCCCAAACGGCAATCTGGAACGAATTTAAAATTATCTTTTCATGGAAATTAGATATACACGTGTTAGAGTATAACTATAGAAAAACCCATATCATTCTATATTTTGTAATACAAAATTAATGCCCAAAATTTTGTGAGATTGATCATACAGCGAATCTAAACAGCAAATATTTCTTATCTGGATAGGTTGCTAACATCTTAATAACTTAACGTCTTTCATCATGAATTCAAAGGATTCATAATAGTTTTAGATCTACATTTACACCTCTTACAATTTCACCTGTCGTCATGCAATTTATAAGCTTTCTGGCAGGGGCGGCGGAACCGGGGGGGGGGGGGGGTGCTGGGGGGCATTTGGCCCCCAGATTTTCCCAAGTGCCCCTTTTGTAGCCATAAATGCAGTGGCGTCACCAGACTTTTCAGTCTGGGGGAGCACAGGGGGGGGGGGGGGGCACCAGCATTTGATGGGGGGGGGGGGGCACTTAGGTGGATACGGATCGCCGTCCTGGGGGAGGGGTCTAAGGGGAGGGGGTGCCCCCCTCCCCTTTGGAAAATGTTCGCATACGGAGGATGGGCTAGATGCAAAATGGTGCCACATTTGATGCTAAATTCGATCTGAAGATATCTCCAGAAATTGCTATTTTCGAGGTAATGATTTTAACAACGCGCAGAATTTTTTTTTTACCAACCCAAATCTCAGATGGGGGGGCACTCGGGGGGGCACTGGGTTTTCCAGGGGGGGGGGGCACGTGCCCCCCCTGGCCCCCCCCCCCCCCTTGGCGACGCCACTGCATAAATGTGCCCCCTCGAGATAAAGGAAAATGCCCTTAATATGAAAACCAAGTCCCAAAACCCATACAATACGCCCTGAAAATGGGCATATAATGCATAGTTAGCATATAATCATTGGTTTTGAAGAGCGCCCACTATTTGATTTTACGGACGCCAAGTTTCCGGTGAAAAAAAGGTGTCGACATTTCAGCACGGGTGTGCAAGTGCCCCTTTTTGGTGATGCCCCCCCCCCCCCAAGTTTCAAACCCGTTCCGCCGCCGCTGCTTTCTGGACATTTCAGTTACAGAAAACAGGCAATCTTGAAAATCGCGAGCGATCTACAGGATCTGTTGACAATTTATTCATGAATTATCTTATTACGAGCTGTTATATTTTTTGACGGAGTAACCACTTAAAAAAACAACCTTTTTGCGCTTTCATAATGCCATTTTTATATCGTTCTCGTTGTTTCGTTTTAAATGTGCTTGTTTAACGCTTCACTGTTTTCATAATTTGTGGTCAACTTGTCTTTTGGTGTTTCTTTGCCGATAGTCACATTATTAAATGCACATGACCTATTTCGACGGCCTACACTATGGGTTCTTTATTCGTAAAAAAAGAGCTTTAAAAATTAGAACGCGTACCTGAGTGTCATCTCAGTAACAAGTACCCATATTATAGTTGTCAGGAAAGGCATGGGCGTCGTAAATACCAAGAAAAAGACAAAATACAAAACAAACTTTAAAAACAGACAAGTTTGTTTGTATATAGTGTCAAGAAATGGATATTTTGCTCAAAATAAGTTTATTCTAATGTGTAATATACACGAGGCAATTTACAAGCAACTTATTTCAGGCAATCTTCAAAACGAAAAACGACCTGCATTGTTATTCTGCGAAAATGTCCTTAAGAATTTCACGCGTACAGTCACTTTCTAGACGAATGCATTTCGATATTGACGAGGATTGGTTGCCTCCCAGATGCCTTCAAAATTGTTCTGTGCTCGTTTTGAAACCTTGTCCCTCAAAAAAATGTTGTTAGACGTTTTTAAAATTCGGTTCTATACCCAGTTGACAGCGGATTGAACCAACTTGCCGGCATGTTTGTGAACGGGCGCCCTCTACCGGAGACGATGCGACACCGTATAGTCGAGATGGCTCATTGCGGTGCGCGACCCTGCGACATCTCCAGGCAACTGCTGGTGTCCCACGGCTGTGTGAATAAGATTCTAGGTAAGACCCATAGGGTTGCAGACCAGTAAATAAACTGTCATAAACACCAGTGATAAATACGCCCACTTCCGAAATTTAAGAAAAATACTCACAACTCTCCAAGGTGTTTGAGACACGCATCAAATTAAAGCTGATTTCATCATCTTTCTTTTTCTGTTCAGTTAGTTTGGGGTTAACCAATGACTTATGGGAGAACATTCCATCCGAATATAATCACCACTAAAAGTAGTCCTGTAGCCAATCGCCATTTTGAAAAATAGAGCAACTCTAGGGCCCAATTAAATTCGAATTTCACTGAAATACGAGCTGGCACTCCTGTACACGGCTTTTACACTTTTTTTTTTTTTTCTTACAAACCCTCAAGTTCATGGCCCACAAAATGCTCTAATACAAGATAATTTGAGGGCATGCAAATCGTTATTTAGCCGGCGTATAAGCAGTTTCGGGTCTATTTACTGGCCTGCATCCATAGAGAAATGGACCCCCGCATGAACAAAATACGGCGTTGTTCTTTTGAGATAGCGGATGGAAGTCGAGGGCAACCTCGTCCCCATCCCTAGGGCTTACCCTATTTTCGACCGCGTTTACAATTCAGGAACCCCTGGGTGGGAAACTTGCTTCCTGTATCCTGATTCGATACCGCAATAGGCCTACCGAGTTATCTATTTATATAGTGTACTTGGTGAATTTATTTCCAACGTGTAATACGTGTTTTGACATTCGTTGTATTATCACGTCCAATCTTCCGCCAAAAGTATCCTCCCTTTTCCCATTTTGCATATAATAATACTGCAGAAATGCTATGGTAATAGTACATAATTAAATATTATGCAATACACCTTTGAAATAAAACGTGTAGATTAACCAAATTTTTTTTTTTTGGGGTACTATTGGTGATAAATTAAGCGTACAAACCATCACTTCTTTCCAAATTCAGAACGGGAACAAACTACCACAGTTCTCCGTTGATGGAAAGCATGTTTTATTTCGAGGTCATGATCTCAGCGAGGAAAACGAGCCATTTCCCAAAACTTTACTTTTCTTCTTCCCAGGTCGATTCCTCGAGACCGGCTCTGTTCGGCCGGGGACTATCGGTGGGAGTAAACCCAAAGTGGCCACGCCCACCGTGGTGGAGAAGATTGAACGCTACAAGCAGGAGAACCCGACCATCTTTGCCTGGGAGATCAGAGACAAACTCATCTCAGAAGGTATATGCCTATAAGGAATATGACCTGTATGAACTTAATTTGAATATTCATATGCATAATACAGCCGCGTACTTGAGAAATGAGCCAGTCACCACAGTAGTTCAACACACACATAGTTCCACAACAACTTCGTAAAGTGCATACGTATACGGGTAACCGATGAGCATGAAACCTGGGCATGAAAGCTCGCGTGCGCACTTGGTAAACAGCAAAACCAACAGCTGCTACGTGATGGTGAATGGACCAGTGAGAACTCGGTCCTCGATCATGAATATGTATGAGTATAGTATCAACCAATAAAATTTCAGAATCAGTAACGGCGCTCCTGTCTCCAACGTATGGGTATGAGGTCAGGTCTTGAAGACTGTTTGATTATTCAATGCGTCCGGGAACTAAACACTTGGCGTTACGATGCACCGATCATCGATCATGGCTACTGACTTATGCAAGACTTCTTTTACAGCTAAGTTGCAATATGTGCGGTTCAAAGTGAACTTGCCGAATTCCACGGGGGTTCGCTGGTACCATTCATCTATTATTTCATTTCTCGGTATCTAACAGGTGTCTGCACGACTTCGACGGTGCCCAGCGTGAGCTCCATCAACCGCATACTGCGCAATCGCGCCGCCGAGCGCGCAGCCGCAGAGTACGCCAGGGCCACTGAACAGGCATATCTGAGTGACTACGCCAGTGCCTGGACGCACTACGCGTCGCCCTACGGCATTGGCCCCGGCATGAGGATAGACGGGCGACTGGATCCCAGGCAGACGTTGAGGGCGTGCTGCTCTGGTTTCCTGTGTGGGTCGCCATATGGAACATACCATCCGAGTAAGACACTTTGAAATTTGTTTTCGGTTTTATAAGGTGACACTCGAATTGACAGAATTATGTTGTTGACGTTATTTTGACGAGGTAGATTATCCATTCTGGTCACGTACCCCAACCCTACCCTCCATGCCTAAAAACTTGTATTTTGTACAGTTCCGTATACCCCACAATGCAAATACAACATTTGAGGCTTTGGAAAACAGCAGCTGCTGCATGCACTTTGCAGCATACACAGCAAGTTCTAGGAGGACCATTAGTCACTAGTGGTTCTTTCCTGACGAAACTACTTACGTCTGCGCTCTATAGCAACATGTGAACGACTCTATTACAGTCAAAACGTCATCACTGCACACTTGGCCCTGCCAGGGGCTGACTTCATAAAACGCCAAGACGCGTCTTAGGGTGACTCGTCTTATCTTGCGACTTGTCCAAGGATCGATTTTACGATATTAAATTACTCTATGATCTTGAATGCAGTGACGTATGACGTAATTGTTGTGCCTATACAGAGTGGCCCACAAAAAAAACCGGAACGGCATACATTCACTATACCTTGAGACTCAAACCACCTGTACCAATGGATGGAGAATTGTTTTAGCAGAAAATGATATCAAGATCCCGATTTGGTCCAGTGGTGTCTACTGCAGAGCCTAATTTGGGAAGCACACATCTTGCATGTGGGTATTATTACATGAAAATTATTCCCTCTATCCTACTAAATCACGCAGCTTAGTAATTCACTGGACAAAATGACTCCCAACTTTGTTTTACAAAATAGGCTCTTGAAAGAAAAACTACTCGACCGAATCGGGTGATCTTGGTAACAGATTTCAATTTGCATTGGTATAGGTTGTTTGAGTATCAGGAAAGCGGAAGTACGCCGTTCCGTTTTGTTCCTTTGGGGCGGGGGGCACCTGTATAGGTCGAAGAGATCTAACTATGAGATTGTATTTGGGTAGAGGGTGTGCCGATAAAAGTCCTGTTTTGAAGCGGAAAATGTATTAAATGAATTGAAGTGGAACTTGCCGTTTTTTCTCTCCTGACCGACAGGTATCCTACCATCTTCCAACTCGCCGTCACCTTTGCCGACCGAGGGCCAGAGCGACGCTCCCTTCTCTGCCTCCTCGTCCTCGGCCAGTCCCCGGGCCCGCTCTCCATCGCCTTCCGCTACTCCCGTCTCTTCCTCGGAGAACCTTGCGTACCAGGCCCAGCTTGATCCTTCGCCGTACAGGGACCCGATCAGCGAGGAGCAAAGACGCAAACTCCGGCGGAGCAGGACCACTTTTACCCCCGAACAGATCCAGGTAAGTTATGGTAGGGGGATGATCTTGGTTTACCTTTAAAAAAAATACGCTTGGTGTACTCTTTTTCGTCTTCTTCAAATCGAGTATGACCGATTTTAAAGCAGAAGCTTCTTGTCATAACCAGCATTGAAGCGGGGTTGTCTCAACTTCAGGTTTTCGGGGATTTCTTCCTGCTAATAAATAATAGAAGGAAACAGTTGTTTTCGAGCAAAAAGAAGAAGACAGGAGCAAAAAAGAAAAACCTGCTGTTTATTATCCTTTCAAAGTTGCGTACTCCGCGAAAGGCTTGCCCGTCAAAGTTTGTGTTCAGGGCAAATTAGCCTATGGTGGCCACAGGACAATGAACCGCGCACGTTCGGTACATTTTCGGCAAATACAGTCTTCAATAAAGCCGCCTTCAATTTATAAAAAAGAAGAAGATATAAATCAAAAAGATGCATCTCACATCTAATGACTATACACAGAAAACATCATTTAGGCCAGCGATTCCTGATATTGCTTGTCTGATTCATCTTTGAAATTCAATATTGTTCATATTTGTCATTTTCACAGATTCTAGAAAAAGAATTCGAGAAGTCTCACTACCCCTGCGTCTCCACGAGAGAAGACCTAGCAAACAAGACCACGCTCTCCGAAGCTCGGGTACAGGTACGAGCCGACGAGGCTCATTTCTTCCCTTTGCTTGTTAATAAAAGCCTCTGTGTGGCAACTAGAGGGCGCTAGTGCATGGGTACATGGATCACGTGTACTTTCAAGAATTCTAACAAATCTTATTTCAGTATTAGCTGACCAATTTCAGGCAGGACTCTACCGGTTTACGATTATGTCCGACGTTTTCCGAGTTTATTTTCGTTGACAGTCACCTAGATATATTCGCTAAAGCGCGGTTGTTTGTGTGTGCAAAACGGTCGTACTTTATACCAGCATAGTGCCTACATAGTGCTTGTTTATCATATGTTTATATCAATTGTGAACATTTGGAGTTCATTCAATCGAAGCTCGCCTTGGCAAAATTCGAGGAACATCTGGGCAAAAGAGCTCGATCAGCAGCAGACAATTTTAAGCTCACGGCTGATGTGATGATGGGAGCTATTTTAGTGGATGGTCAATTTTCACCTGTCCCCTTCTGTACATGAACTATCATGTGAGAAGTTTCAACTCTCTAGGTGATCACCAGGCAAAATGTACAGCCGGAGAGAGAGATGGGGCTCGCGTATTAGCGAGGATGTTTTTGCATCTTTACCCCATGTCAGTTTCGGCACGTAATCCTTAGCCCACCTCTTCTTTTTTTTGGTATGATATTTGTGATATTTAAAGCCTTTAGAATGATCCTTTTAAAACCTACAGCAGGCGGTTGACATTTGAGATGTCAAATGTTTGTTTTTTCTCTGTGCTGTATTGTATGTAGCCCTTTGTGAGGATATCGAAAAGAAATAGGTAGGGAAAACTAGATGTTAGTACAAGTTATCTGCGATTTTGATACAGAGTTTAAAATTTGACTTGGGTCCCCGCAAGACAAAAATATAAACTGGGAATAACTGTGAATTTATCTAAACTTTGCATGTTTTTTCTTATTTTTTTTCTACAGTGACGTTTTTATTCTGATTTCTCCCAAATGCAGGTTTGGTTTTCCAACCGTCGGGCAAAATGGCGGCGCCACAAGAAGATCGGCAGTCTGCCTTCACATCCGGGGCCTTTGCTGTCCCATCCTTCCCACAATGCCCTGTACTCTACGTCAGTGGCCCTGCCGCGCGCGTACAAGGCGGTGGAGCTAGAGGGCGGCAAGGTCACGCTCAGACCCTCCATCTCGTCGGCCTTCACGCCTCTCAGTCTGGCTAAAGCCACGCCCTCGTCCGCCTCGTCTAGTGGCTTGCATTAGACCACAGCAGAGGGCGCCCCGCAGCCCTTGAGCATGTCGCGAGGGCTTGTTTAATTTTTTTCTTTTACCTGGCAAGTATCAAAGGAAGTGACGCTCATATCAGTGGGCAGATTTGTAATGAATTCCCAACAAGGTACAAGACATTCATTCTCAAGTAGAAAAATCCTCATGAATCTAATTATGATCTGTGATAAAGGGATTTCTTTGTTATTTTTCATTTCATCCTGGCTACTTGCCTACTTGTGACTTTACATGATGTGATTGACTTGTGGTTTGATTAGTGATGGACCCCACTATATAACTTTGTCAATAGTTAGACATACATGTTGACAGATGTGGACTAGTCCATAATATTCAAAGCTTTTTAAAATTTCCTTTTAATGCACCACTGAATTGCTATTGTATAGGCATTTGCGGCAGTCAAGAGATTGTTTCCATGGCATGGCCCTCGTGTGTAGTAGACAACCGCATTTAGGGATGTAGTCAAATCTCAAGTCCATCACAAGTCCAGTCTCAAAATCGCAAGTGCCCTCTCAAGTAAAGCACAATTCCACAGTACACACGTCCGGTAATAAGTAACAGTTGATGAACAAAGGAATGCCTTTGTCAAAGCTCATCAATATAATAGCTCGTGAGTTGAATTGAGACTGGAGGACTTGCGATGGACTTGCAGGAACTTGCAGGAAGCTGTGTGATGAACTCGACTTTAGCACTCATTTTGTTCTAAAGAAGATGCCTTCTTACATCTATTGCTTACACAGTCACTTGTCTATGAAGGGAATGTGTAGCCTTGTAGGCCAAGTTCGGGCGGTCTGCTCTCGACGCGGTATTGTTCTTGCAAAACCCTGACGGATAGGTGGTGTGTGATCCTGTTCTGAGTGCAGTGTTCGTGGGTAGTGTTCCCGCCGTTTGAGCGCGAGAACAATATACCCGTGTCAAGAGCAGACCGCCCAGACTCGGCCAGAGTGTACATAAACAATATTTTGAACGCATGAGGGCGCCACCAATGGTCCGTTTTAAGGTACACAGCTTCACTTGCAAGTTTGCTGAGATTTACATTGGCTTTTCAACAGTCCTCATTCTTGGTAATGAAGGAGATTTAAATTTGCCGATGTAAAGCTACTTCAAAAATGGCGGAGTTGGGCCTGTTGTTACCTCAAAAGATGTTCTTGCAGCGCCCTCACACGTCAAAATATATCATTTGTTTGAATGTTTCCCTTCAATGTGAGTTAATTGTAAAATCACAATAGGACAAAATGCAAAAAAAAATAAATACACGTGTACTGCAAATCACACAATCTTCTATTTAGCAGGCAAACTGGGCTGCTTTACAAAGTCATACATTATAAATAATTCACTTTGTCTAAACAAATGCATTGCCTCACACTTAGGCCTAAAAAGAAAATATTAAACCGAACGCGCAGTGCCGCTATTTGTAAAATACTAGCAGCAGTAAGATTAAACTATTACTTTTTTTAATTTATGATTCGGTACTGACAACCAAAGTTTTAAAGAACAAAACTTGATTTACTAAATTTAAAACAAATATATTATTTTAAAAGGTACTCTTTATTATATGATACTTTAATCAGACGCACGCATAACCAATATTGAATAGAACAGTTTATTTTGACCAGGAAACAATACGGTCACGTGATCAAGTTATAATTGTGTAAGTGACGTTTGAAATAATTGAAATAACTTTGGGTTGAGGCCGCTCATGAAAGATATTCTATATTTCACTGTTTGTTCAGTGCTTTCTTGTAGCTTATGAGTGACAACATCTCAGTTTTAACGACACTTTCATGCTTGCTAGTGCTTATCCATTCGTCTACCGCAAGCAGACGTGAAATCTTCAAGAAAGCTAGTTCAGGATACATGAAACCAACTCCATTATACGTAACGAAATTCATCATGACTAGTCATATTCGTTGTTACTGGACCTTAATATCCAGATTTAGTACGTTTAACTACATTGTAAAAAAAATGGCTTTAGGCTATCAGCTTCGGTCCAAAAATTGGGCCTCCGGTATCAAATGATCGAAAGGAGCAATGCCCATAGCGATTTTTGGCAAGGTATACACATCTAGAGTTGGAAAATGTGTGATAGCTTTGCAGTGTGAGCGGTGGCAGTTTTGTGGGTGTTATCACTTTTATTTATTTTTTTCAAAATGGCCGCCAATATGCTTGCTACCGGGTTAATTATATGTTGTAAGGAGCATGTTTTGGCCAACATTATTTTTTAATAAAGTGACAGCACCCAACAAAGCTGCCACCGCTGCAATGCTATCACATTTTTTCCAACTACAGGGGTAAATACATTGCCAAAGTCACAATGAGCATTATTCCCCTCATTTGATACCGACCAAACCCCCAGGCTGCTGACCTACTTAGATTTTAAACACATTTCTAAAAACTTCGTTGTACCCACTTTTAACATCGATTTGTGGTTGTATGTAAGGTGGACATGTTGAGGGCATCGTACGATAGCCTGTAACTACCATCAGGTTTAAATTATAAAAGTTTATAAATATTGAGTCCTGAGATCTAAGGCAAAGACAGGAACAACACACACTTTGTCACTTTCCTCTCTTTTTATCACCAAGTGTCTCAAAAACGAGCTCCAGTATACATAATTTCCCGTTTTACAATTTATTTCCGTTTCCACTTGCTAACTTGCCTACTGTGCAAAAACCATCTAAACATGGCTACAAGACCTAAACACGTAAGCAAGTGTGTACATAAGGTGTTTGAATTTCCAATACCAATTTTACAGTGAAGGTTATAATTATTGGCGTGGTGTAAGAAAACTTAAGGCTCTACATTGCAAAATCTGAAATAACCTCTGCAATAGTGAAATAATTGCGTTCATTGGTGCAATCAGCTTTCCTTTTTGAAAATGTAAATATTTGCCAAACTATCTTCTTTTGTTCCTTGAAGAATGTGCAATAAAGAGCAATATCTCCTATCTAAGCTCATAATGCCCTGTGCTGACAATTGTGCTTTCCTTTATTTCCACTTAAAACTTACAACTAATGACCAAATGTACGCCTTCGATTATGTAAAGGATGAGATCATCAATGGCTTAGTTTAAAAAAAACCCTAATTTCTTGATGTTAATTTTTCCTGGGATGTTTCGCACTCCATGCGTAGTGTATAATCTAATAGATGTTTACGAGGATCAATTCTGACGTCATACGAAAACTCAGACTTAAGACAACCTTCTTAATCAGCAGATAACTGGCGTAGGTAATACGATTCTTTTTAGTGAGAAATAAGAGTGGAAAATAGTCTTGGTCAAGGCGTTCGATAAGGCCCGTCTGTTAATTACACCGTTAAATGGCGCCATTGTTACGTAAAAAAAATGTGCCACCATCAATGGTATTAATCTTTCAGCGAATTTGGTAGTGCTGCCCGAGTACCAGTAACGTCATGTTGAGTTCGAGTACGAGTACGAGTACTCCAAAAAAATTACTCGAGTAGTACTCGAGTACGAGTACCGAGTATGAGTACTACAACACTGTTTGGTACCAATCCTATCTTCACTTTGAGCAAGGATTTCTTCTTAATCGTTTTAGGTACGTTACCGGAAAATTGCAAATGTTACGTGCCTTTAATTGAAACAAGGGCCGGGTCAGAATCACACCGATGTTTTTCTACGAGTGAGGCTACAACGGTCTCCAGATTGTCAGATATAAAGGAGCGCCCTCTATTGTCACTATGGATTAAACACGTAAAACCTTTTATTTTTGTGATTAAATTTGGAGAAACAAATTATATCAAGCTGCCCTATTAATATGAATGTTTATGTCTTTAAAACAGATCTGACACATAATAATCTGAATCCCTTCTACCTTGGCATTCCACAACTTGCGGCTGGCTATTGGTCGAACGTCAATCCAGTCCCGTAGAACTTGTCTCGAATGAGGGCGTCCATAGCCTCGCTCTGAGCCACAGTGAAATGAGATTTCCAGTCTCCGACTTTGCCTGAAATGAAACAGAAGAAGTCGGAAGGAACAACTTTTAGGAAATCAACTGTCTATGACTGGTGTAAAAGCTTTGCAGTCAGTAAAAATGAATGCACAAAAAAGGCACCGACCTCAAAAAATAGCTTATACGCAACGGCAATCAACACGCCAATATTACCTGCTTAAACGACACTACGTAGCTTATAGTTAATTTCAGATTTTTAATTGTAGATTTGTGTGTGTTAGAGTGAGAACTTCTTGCAACATGTTTGGGACCGCACACAGTTGCAACAAGACATCAAATCTTTCACAGACATAACATACACCCTTCAGCATAGACAGGTATTTCGTAAGTGAAAACAGTGACAAGTGGATATGTTCTTGAACGAAGGGGTTTACACACAATTCTCTGATTATGAGTTTGAGTATGAGCTTCAGAGCAAATTCGTCTCCAGGAAATGCCCAATTTAACACTGAAACACCATTGGAAACTGTTTTCTAATTTAGACCCAAGTCACACGAGGCAATTATCAGAGGCAACTTGAAGGCAAATTGTGACGTGCCATATCAGCTCTCCTTCATCTGGCTGGTTCGCTTGGTAGCGTGCTGCCTCGATGGTGTCGTATCCCTGCAGTGGTGGGCCACATGCAGCACCAGGCTATCGCCTCTGCTCAGTGGACAGGACCAGAAGACTGGTGGAAGTAGGGTCAGTGGAATACACAAGGGAATGGGATTGGGCCATTTGGGATGGGGAATTGTAATTGGAATGTGGGTGGAGTTGGAATGTGGGTGGGGTTGGAATGTGGGTGGAGTTGGAATGTGGGTGGAGTTGGAATGTGGGTGGAGTTGGAATGTGGGTGTAGTTTGGATTGTGGGTGGAGCCCTTTAAGGTGGCGCAACTTCGGTGGCGCATCTTATTTTCCTAGGGACTTTGCCCTTGAATCCTGTTATCCTGAGTATATCCGACCCTAGAACATTGGTGATCGGAAACAGTAAATCAAGAACAGTGGTCGTGCTTTTCATCATTCATCACCATCTGCCATGTCATTCCATTATAATCAAGAGCCTCATTATCCTAATCATTCGATAATCCAGCAATCTAATCCTAGCCCTGCAACGCCTTTTATACACTTTGAAAGCTCATAGGCTAATTCATCTTCTTTTTTGCCATACAACAGTGTTGAAACCCAACCAGGATTCCCCAATATGCAAAGTGTGGGCGACTCACATGCTCTATATTGTATACATGTACTTAAAACATACAGGTGATGGCTGTATACTTCCTGCTCCGTTACAAAATGCACTATGAGTATGAGTCAAAATCCCTACAGGAAGAACGAAGTACGTCTTTCCTAGCAGCGCGTTATACATGTATATATTTTTTGATTCCGTCAACCGATGAGATTGTTTACCTTTTCTCATGAAGGGCGCTTGGGTGGCGCCGGGGGCCGGTTCCGGGTTGCCATAGAGGGAGTCTGGGTTGGCCATGGGGTTCTTCTTCATGTTGGCGAAGGTGCAGTGGTCCGTGATGGCGTCCAGTGCCTCGGCGGGCAGGTCCTTGCCCAGGAACTTGCTGATCGTTTCAACATTGCCTCTCAGATCCTGAAGTGAATGGGTAAAAAGTTGATGAAGAATAAGGCCGCGCCCGCATGATTTGGCTATGTATAGAAATAACACACCAGTCAATGTGAAGAGGCTGCAGCCGCTTCCATAGGTGAGTGTGTAATTTCCAGCTATAGCTAGGTAATTCTCATGGGATATTAATAATAAACAATAATGGGTATTTACAAAGCGCACGTATCAACCATTATTGGTGCTCAAGGCGCTACATCATTATTACCCTGCTCATTGGGCCAATGAAACATTCCAAATACCATCTCAACTCCCTGGGGTGTATTCAGCTTAACATGGCCATTTTTGCGCAAAGCAGCTTAAAATCAAACACAATAACCATCTCGGCCATGTGTACCCACTTACTCCTGGGTGGGGAGAAGCAATGAGTGCCAAAGTGCCTTGCCGAAGGGCACACGCACCGTAGCCCCAGGCTGGAATCGAACTCAAAACCCGGCCTGCAGAATAACCCGCAGACCTCCATGAGGCAACGGCGCTCTATACGTACGAATAATGCAAAAATCGCAGAGTACAAAATATTACCTCAATTGAAACAATTATTTACCAGCTTGACTCAATCTACAAAATTAAAGATTGCTAGAAAATTAATCTTTGGAATATGTGTATTCATGACACAACCAATTCAAATACCGACTGGTTTCTCTAATTCTTAGGAAGTGACATGTCGATTAGTTTTTGGGATGTGATTTTTTGGAATGTTCGCAGTCTGCTCTCATCCATATACCTGGTTGTGTACATTGAAGTACCCTCCAAAATCCTTTCCTTATACACTTGGAAAAGTCGTGGGTCAGATTGACCCCGGAATCTGAATCCAAATTTGTAACAAAATGACAGTTTTCTGGGTCATTATTATCGTCATTTTTCTTTTAAGAGTGTACAGCCTCACATTGGAACTCGTTGCCAGGTTCTTGCTCTGCTCCTCATAACTTATCGCACTTTAAGCACCTTGAGTTGCCCCTATTTTTTAACACCTCCTACTATACATATGTACAGAGAATCACATGTAAAGACTTCATTGATGGATTGTGTTTTGCTTGTCCAATTATCACTTACCCTTTTCAGGTCTTCAAATCTCAGCAGGAGGATGTTTGGATGGTGTCTCTTTTTCCAAAAGAATAGGTAATGGTCCCACCAAGGACCGTAAGGATCTTCGCGAACAAAAAGAATGAAAAGCAGTAGTCAGAAGTAGGTCTAGAACGAAGTTTCGAAGTTCATTTTACGACAGTAGGCTATTTGCAAAACGCCAAATGCCAAATGAATCTAAATACAAGGGCTTGATTCACTTGCAGCCGGCCGTCGACAGTGACCTTGTCCCACAACAATCGTATTTCGAGAGATTTTTGTTTGGCAAAAGAGAACTAAAAGCTAGAGACGGTGGTAGGCTACGGATGAAGCATGTTGCTTGGTGGAATCGGTGACTCTGATCAGAAACAACCAGGCACCAATTTGCACCTGCACGTACCATACGAGTTTTGCTTCAATGTGCCATATTTTAAGCGAATGAGGGCGCTATTACGATGACATTTTCTGGGTACAAAAAGATGAATATTAATTAATTGAAGGAATTGGGCAAGTATGCCTCAAAAATCTTTAAATTGTTGAGTGTAAACACTTATTTCGTAATATAAACCAATATGTAAATTCAAGTTAGTAACTTGGGATTCATGTATGTTTGTACTTAAAGTATTGAGTCGCTGCAGCGCCCTAAAGAACCGCTATTAGAGGAGACTCAACATCGTTCCCATGTATGTTGACGAGCAGTACGCTCCCACTACCTGCTATCTCACATTGGTATTGAATCATGTGCGTGCTCAAAAATCTTGCCTGTGCAAATTAGTACGGAATAGTTTGTGTTTGGCCTAGCTTTTAAAATAAGTGTGTGTTTTTATGCAGAATCCATTCGTCGAGGCGTAAGATCCAAAAACACGATTTGTAATGCACTAAGTAATAATATGTAATGTACAAGGGAGGATAATTTTGAGGACTGACCGTAGTAATTCAAAATGAGCGTGAAAATGCGTAATACATGTTATAATCGCAAAGTACACGATCAATCAATTGGTTTGCAGTATCGAATCAGGATACAGGAAGCAAGTTTCTCAGCCAGGGGTTACTATTCGTAACGAGGTCAAAACGTAAGTAAGGCCAGAGGACGAGGTTGAAAGCGACCATGTTCCTCACCTTGTTGGGGAATGGATAGGTCGATACACAATTTGGTTGAGGACTGTGTTTACCGTGACCGTTTATTCCACAACAATGTTTTAATGCACATTGATTGATTGAACTGGTTACAGCGAACTTAGACAAAGATTAAATTGAATGAACTGAAATAGACTAGAATAGAAATGGAAATGGAACAGAAATGGAATTGAAACAGAATGAGGAACTGCTCACAGGGCAGTACTTATATACTGGTGGAAACAGGAAGTTTGGGGAATGAGAAATACATAAGAATGGGAAAACTTGGTCATGTCTTTGCTTCCTTGATTCTGAGAAAGATGACTAGGAATGAGTGATATAGTTCCTTAAAACAATGATCTTGAAAGTAACTTGGTTGTGCTAAAAAACTGACCAATGACTTGTGTGTGGGCAGCGAAGGTCATTTGCTCTGTATAAAACTATAGGGACTACACATTGCATAGCCACTGTGTGGGTGTATGTGTATACAAGGAAAACGATGAGTAATGCATTCAGGAGAATTAATCATTAAAAAGTTCAAAAGGAACATTGATAATTAAAGTGGGATAATTTACTAAAAATTAACACGAATTGATAATTAAGAATTGATAATCTGAAAACGCTACAACCTTTTCCTGCCATCATTTCGTCGAAAAACTCGCTGAATGTCTGGCCGCTCCTTTCGGGATTGATTTTTCGGAGGAAGTAGAAGTTGGACACCACCACGTCTTTGGGGTTACGGATGACGTAGACGAGTTTGGCCTTGTCCCAGATTTTAGGGGGCAGTAACTGACCGGGGAGATGGGACTTAATGACCCGGGGCGATGGAACCGTCTCAATCAGCTTGTAGCTTTGAGGCAACTAACACAAAAAAAGAAAAAACAAACTGGAGTCTTGTCGGTGTCACCCCGCAAATCGTCACCGACACAACGAACTGACACCCGGTGGTCAGCGTTGCAGAAATACAAATCGGAGAAAAACGCTTTTAAAGGTTTGACACGAATTTACTCAGTAAAATATTCCATCTATCTTAGAGGTTTTAGTATCACTTAACGTGAAAATGCTTAAACTGCTCAATTATAAACGTTATATTGTAAAAATCTGCTTAGTTAATTAGCAATTAAATGATTAAGATGGGTGTCAGTTCGTGAAAACCAAAATTTGCGTGTTTTCGGAGAGTGCGCACATGCAATAGCGTTAGGGAGTGTCAGTTCGTGAAAACCAAAATTGACGCGTTTTGGGAGGGTGCGTGCACACACTGCGCATGCGTGCGCGCACTCTCCAAAAACACGTCAATTTTCGTTTTCACGAACTGACACTCCCTAACGCTATTGCATGCGCGCACTCTCCGAAAACACGCAAATTTTGGTTTTCATGAACTGACACCCTGTGCAGGGTCACTTCGTGGTAACAAAAAATACCAGAATTGACCAATTTAGTGAAAATTCATTAGTAAAATTTGCTTATTTTAGATGATTTCAGCAATTTTAAATTCGTCATGTTAAACTTCATGATACAAACTGATAATATGTGCAAAAAAAGAAAATTTGAATTTTTAAATGTTTTTGTACACATGTGATGCAGAGGGTGTCAGTTCGTGGTGTCGGTGACGAAATGACCAATTATACACATGTACTGTACAGGGTGAGTCAAAAAAGCGAAACCCAAAAGTCGGGACTGTTATTTTAGTGAAGTTCTGTACTAAAACTTTTAAAATCTAGGATACGACAACCCAATTCGTAAGCTTTCTTTAAGTACAAGAATAATTCAAATCACTCGTGTACTTTTTAAATTACGGAATTTGAAACACAACCACCGTTTTAAAGTTCTGTCCACGGATTACAAAATGGTGTGCGTTCTTTCAGCAAAACGAAAACAATTCACGCACAATATCCCTATGTGCTTTGTTTTCGTTTTGCTGAAAGAACACTTATCTTCTTGTGATCCGTGGACAGAACTTTAAAACAGTGCTTGCGTTAAAAATTTCGTAACTTGAAAAGTACATAAATGATTTTTGTACTACTACTAATACTACAACTAATAATAATATCGGAGTCTTATAAAGCTTATGGATTGGGTTTTCATATCCTGGATTTTAAAAGTGCTACATGCAGAACTTCAATAAAACAATGGTCCCGGACGTTTGAGGTTGTTTTTTTTTGGATTCGCCCTGTAGTTGATTATTTTTTTTCAGCCCCAATACAACAACAAATACAACGACGACCTAAAATTAGGCAGACGAGTTTCCTGTCAAGCCTGACTCATGGGGCTTACGGTACCTTATGTTCATCCCGGACGGTCTTTGGCAAATTAAACTCTAGGAACGGCACTCGGAACACAGTATGTCGCTTGTTGACTTCCTCCAGGTTCCCGTCATGCATCACGCACGACATGATCTCCTGCACCCAAGTTGTTCCTGGAAACACACATTAAACCACCGCAATGGGTATACATTATCACTGTTTGGGCCAAACAAAGAGTATAGCGGGATCGCTCAGGAATATTTGTACTGATCAGTCGTAATTTGAGCAGGATATGCCCGTAGATTTTGAGTTAGACAAACAGTATTAAGGGGGACTTTCCTTTTTAGTTGAGTGTATTTAACGTGCTTAGCAAATATCGAGTGTTAAGCAACTCCATGAAGATTGGTCTTCTCGTACTCTACCTGTTTTGGGAAAGGTCACGATCCAGCTGTCATCATCTCTGACTTCAAATGTCTTCAGTGCCTTGACCACATCATCTCCTTCCCAGTAAAGTGTGATTCCTTCATGCTCCACGTAAACAAACTTGGAGGACTTTGACGCCAACAGTTTCTTGTCTATGGAGAATAGACCATATAGACCTGAGACGTAATGACATCCGGCATTGTTTACATAATTTATGCGACCTTTCTTAGCCATTCTGGAGACCTGTATGGTTTCTCTCGTGTCCGCCTGCCTCCCATAAGAAGGCGTATGTAAACAAAGTATGACGTCATTATGTCTCGAGGTTTATCAATGGAATCCTGCATGCAATGATGTGTCTAAATACATTACAGTGGGTCAACTATCCAAAACACATGCGATAGAAGGGATCATTTTTGAGCAAATGAGAGCGCTGTTACGATACAATTTCGTGGCAGCAAACACGTTTTTGATTATTCCATGCTTTGACGTATATTTGCATATTGCTACGTTTTAGGATTTGGGGTTTGCAACCTCCAATGCTCAGATTCATGCCAAGTTGCCAAAGTGCTTCAAATTATATGACATATCTACTGTCTCCCTCCAGTCAATGGACATACCTTTTAAAAAACAGTACATAAGGCCAAAAAAACGTCGGCAAAATGAAAAAGTTTTTTTTTTCAATACAAGATGATGTCTCAAAACCGCCAAACTCACTGGTTTGACTGAAATCCTGCTGCTGCACAATTTTAACGTGTTTTTAGATGGGGTTATGATCGAGAATAAGCTTTATGTGGCCTCTCTGGACTCCCATATATTTGCACTAAGTTTAGTCGGGCACCATTTGCAGTCATCAGCCGACATTTGAAGCCCCCCCCCAAAAAAAAAAAAAAAAAAACAGGTAAAAAAAAAAAAAAGCCGCGTCGCCGCACCACTTTTGGGGCAAGCTCCATACCAGAAACCGGAGACTTTTTTTTTTTGCCTAAGGTTTGAATTTTTTTATCCCACAAAATCTGTCTTGAAAAACAATCATTTTCGAGTAACAGGATCAGGTCATAAATCACAGGGTCAGACCACCTTTCTATCGCTGATGTGCTCTAATTACACGTAAAACGAGTCATTGAGATTCTCGACTCGAGTCAAGTAGAGTCGACTCAGTCAAGTAGTTATATGCAGTACACCCGAGTCATGATCACATCGCTCTCAGGTAGTGACCTGAGCTGAATCGAGTCATTCGTACAGAGGTAGTTACCCAAATCGAGTTTTCCTTATGTATAGAGTTACTCGAAGTCAAGTTGGATCATTACAAGACAGTAAGTGGAGTCCAGTCTCAGACAATCAAGACGCAGTCAAGAAAATGGGCTCAAAATATAGTTGCAAAGGTCGATTCACGCTCTAACTCCAGCCAATTCGAGTTCATGGGCGTCGCCAGGACGTTTTTTGCGAGAGGTGACAAAAGACCCCCCGCCCCCACAAAAAAAATCCAAAACAGCATATTCTCAATATATCATGCTACATGGTGGGCGGGGCCGGGGGGGGGTGTCCAACCTACCCCCATTCAAGGGCGGATCCATTTATTTTGTTGGGGGCGGGGTAAACATATATTGTTGGATTCTAGATTCTCTGTGGTGCGATCTGAGGCAAAGCGGAAAAGATATTGGTGTAAGAATTGGCTGAATTTTGTTGTAAAGTCACTTAAGTCCGCCGTTGCCTTCATTGACATTCGTGTGGACGCTCAGTTTGTTTTATTTGTATTTAATTACTAGTGGTACGACTTCACACTTGTTTTGTTTTCCTGTGTTTTCTTTTCTCTTTCCATGTCTCCTTTTTTGGGGCGGGGCCGGGGGAAGGAGTGAAAAAAAATTCCTTTTAAAGAGTTTGAGTGAAAAACATCTTTTTTCAGCCATATTTTAAACTTCTAATCATGGTGTAAATAACTTTGGATAGTAATGTGAGTTATGATAAAACTTACAGTTTTCAAGTGTGATCACCTTGTCCATAACTACGTTGGAAGAGGATCTGTGCAGAAATGGGAATACAAAGTATGTCGAGTTAGTACGGATTATATATTTTGCCACATGCTTTCAAAGGGAATTCTCCGCTTCTACGGTAAAAGCAGAGCAGAGCATCTGGGCACAGGTTTAAATGAATGTTTGACGTATATGACTCCCACTTCAAGAGAACTGCTCGTCGAGATTTGGGCTCTAACATATTTAGCATTATGTTGCAATACACCAACTCTCTATGCGATGCAAACAATAGTGTGATTTGAATGTCAAGTTCAGCCACGCATGGCAGACGAAACGATTGTTATTGTCACACGCTGCATACTATGCTTGTGACCTTTATTACTGTAATAACTAAACGGATTTGGAAGCATGTGAAAACGTCCTGTCTTTCACTCTATTTTGTAAACGTAAAGTGCCGACAAGGTAAGGTGCTTAGCACTAATACGGCCACAGTCGTTCCCTTTTAACTCGATATTGTTGCAATTGATGATGAAGTACACTTACCTAGCTGGGTCACTACAATGTGTGTATGAGGTTGCTGCCTGCTTGGTGCGTAGGGGTGAGTCTGCTTGCAACCGTCTGAAGCCACACAGTTTAGCATGGAGCTATACAAAGGTTAGAGTGCTGTACAGATAGCTGAACTCTCGTATTTTACACTTAAACATGAACAAATGATTACTATCTACTCGTAAGGTTAATAAGGTGACTGGTGTCGGCCCGCATGGAAGACTCAGTGTGTTGATACTAGTTATCAGAGAGCAACGACGGGACAATCGAACAATGGTTTCCCGCACCAGCTTGCAACAGGTACGATCGGTACATTCATAAGTTGCCTTTCCTGAACCTTATACCTTACGTTGTTAATAAATGGCAATCCTTGAACTTTATACCTAATTACGCTGTTGGAATAAAATTGCCGCGGGAAGCGAAGCTTTTTTCCCATACACCCAAAACCGAATCGGGTATACGGCTACGCTATAAGGTTTTTGACTATCCTTCTCTAAAATTAAAACCTGAGGAAATTATATATGTAATTAAGAACACAAAAATATATTCGAACCAATGACATTTTGACTTTATTTCCCTTTGAAAGGAAATCTACAAAGCCACAAATTAGAAAAAAAAAATGCAAAATGTGGTTTGGACCACACCTTCCGATTTCAAAACCATGCCGTTATCCAGCTGAGCCATTGAAGAGCTCGACAGCAAACTGTAATTCATAGCATTATAAACCTGCGTAGGTGTATTATGCTATGAATTACAGTTTGCTGTCGAGCAAAGTGGAAACCATAGGGAGACATTCTCATAGACTTGTGCAAAAAAAAAAATTCCAACTTAAATGTGCCCTAACCCAATAGTCCCTTGTCCTTTTCCCGCCAAAAGACCACGAGCAACAAATGTAACCCGATTGCGACAAAAAAATTTAGACTCTGAAGGGGGGCTGTGGAATTAGGTAGACATGAAAATGTCTCCCTATTGTCGAAGAACTTACGATAACGTGTCTCCCTAATGCTACATTTGTAGTTTTAATAATAATAATTAATTCTTATATAGCGCAATACATATGAAATCTCAATGCGCTTTACAAAGAAATTACTACAATACATATAAAAAGCTAAATATATATTACTAGTCCATTAAAAATGTTTAGTTGAATGCCATTAGAATACATTTAAAAAGCTCATAAAACTACTAACACGTCAAAAAGTAAAGGGCGCTCAACAACCATCAATACGATGTCTTTCGGGAAAATAATAATTCGCCCGTGAGGCAACGGTTACTTCGCCCCCTTAAAAATGGTGTCCATACCCCCCCCCCCTCCCAACTATTTGATTTTACGGAGGTCCGGTGTCAGGTTATAAAAAAACATGTCTACCTATCAGCACAGATAAAATGTTTTGGGCGCCTTTCCAGTGTAACCTCAAGCCCCCCCCCCCCCCCCCGACACACACGCGCCCGCCCCTCCCAGGATGAGAACCCTGGCTAAGCCGCTGTCCACGATATGTAACTTTCAACCCAAACCCCACGAGTTTGATAATAAGGGAGATATGACAATTGGAGTCTACAAACATCACTTCCATCAGTAACACCGAAAGTACAGGTCGCATGACCTTGTCATTCCAGCAAGCACATATTTAGGCCAATATAATGCTACGGCCCAAAACTGGAATTATACATAATCACAATGTGCAGAATTACGATTGCCGCAAAATTGCCTCATTAAATACTCATGAAGCCACAACATGACGACAGTAAACTCATAGGCGTCGCGCCGGAAATTTAAAAAAAAAAGAAAAGGAAGAAAAAACAGAGAAAAAAAAGAAAAGAAAAAGAGGCGCGAAGTCATATTGGATTGAATTTAATGGGGGGGGGGGGCAAAATGTCCCTGCCTCCCTCTAAAACTGATAAATCGAAAATATGTTGAGAAATATACATGATTTTCTTGGGTAAAATATGTTTTGCCCCCCCCCTCTAGAACAAATCCTGGCGACGCCCATGAGTAAACTGCACGATAATAAAAATGCAAAATGTTTATCTTCGAAGGTTCCTGCATGATTATATAAAGTATCAATCCCATGAGAATGTTAATCGGTTAGATATGGTAATCAAGGTTTAAATTAACAATTCCGGTTATACCGGAAGTAAGGGTCACATGAACAGGACATCAATTAAATGGAATTATATTTACTGAACTGTAAATCAGTTTTCTATTCAATACATGTCATTCTAGGTTCCTGAACATTGTGTTGGTATGTCTTTGGGTAGTCACAAACAAAGGTCTGTATCCTTTGCATGCATAATGCATGTCAGTGAAATTTTTACTGAATGTTGCCAATAACCAGATCAAAATACTGGCTTAAGCGAAAAACTGGTAACCTTTCGCGTTTTGTGGGAGACAAACTATTCAAAGGGACGTTCTTCTGACTCGCCCTGTACAGTTCCTTTTTACATTTTTATGTTAGAACCAATTTTAATTTGTGGTCTACATTTTTTTATCAATCAAAATTACTCGACCTCCGGTTTTTCGAAGGTGAAAACAGCAATAAAGTAACATTAAAATATATTATAATTATCGTTCAAATTTGGTTTATTATTCAACTGTTCATTTTTGTGGAACTGAGCTGAGTAAGATTGTGTCAATTAGGCTCATATGTCAAACAGGCAAACTTAGATTTACTCAAAAACCAAAACTTTAACCAACCTGTTATAAAAATTTCAAACAAAATTCCTTCCAAATGAGAATGAGATATAAACCAATTTATCCGATTTTGTTTTTGTTTGCAGTCTTATTATAGTATTACCGCCGCTTTAGCGTCATCTAATATAAGTTTGTGCCCATTGTTATTATTTTTGTAGTATATTACATGCACTTGCAGTACTTGCACACCATTTTACGGTGCAATGCTTGGTTTAAATTGTCCACAAGCTCCAAGTAAATAAAACCCAAGCACAGCTTCATATTCCAAGCTTAATATGGTTATTGACACGAAGTTCTTAGTAAATACCTCCAACATACCTTCATAGCCCAAGCTTGAGGTAAGTTTAACCAGTTTTCGTAGTCGGTATAAATTTGGTCATTGTAGTAACCCACGTTATGGTTAAATTGACCGAGAAATTCTCACCCAATCAATGGACCGATCCAGCAAGCCCCGCCCACTGCGCACGTGGGCAAATTAACACGTGCTCCTCTCCAATGCCACACTGATACGCGCGTGCATGCATGTCGGACTTTTGTGCACGCATGTTGGACATAAATCACGGCTGTGATTGGTCAGAATACCATGGGGCGGTGCTTACTGGATCGGTCCATTGGATCGGGGCGGCCCAACTTTGGGTAAATGCTGTTTTCACCCTATGCATGCTTGGGTAAAAATTTCACTCATTGGGTCGAACTTTAACCCAGGCAATCGATTTCAGCGCAGTCGCAGCTGGCTATTGGTCGAACGTCAATCCAGTCCCGTAGAACTTGTCTCGAATGAGGGCGTCTATAGCCTCGTTCTGAGCCACAGTGAAATGAGACTTCCAATCTCCAACTTTGCCTGAAATGAATAAAATAAAGGAAAACTTCAAGGAACTAAACGCTTTATATATGACTGTTTTAAACGCTTTGTTTTCGTGCAGTTTTAAGAATACACAAGAGAAGAGGTCTTACTGTACTTGAATTACTGCATGTGGACCAACAGAATACACCTCAACTATTGCTAATATGCAACGGCAATCAGCACGCCAATACTGTCGACACCGACATCAACCCACCAGATTATTTGCTCTGCTTAACATCGTCGAGCAGTGCCTGGAATGGAACTCGCCTTTATTCATCCCTTTCATCGACTTCAAGAAGGCATTCCATGGTTTTCATTGTGAGAGCCTGTAGAAGATCTTGAGAGCCTACGGACAGGCCCGGATTACCCAATAGGCACAGTAGGCACAGTAGGCACTGTGCCTAGGGGCCTACGAAAACTTGGGGGGAGTGCCTACGAAAAGACCGCAGTGTTATAACTGACGCTGTACAGCATGTATACATTGGCCCTACGTATAACCGTTATGTGTAAGTCTGTCGTTCTGAAGGTGCCAACCATGGACGTCGATCGGTGGGGAACGGGGGGGGGGGGGCTGATGTCGTTCTCCAACGTTTTTCGTCCCTGAGTAAAACTACGTAGCCTACATTTGATTTTATAGCTCAGAACAGCTGATTAATTGACTCCAAACTCGAAAAAGATGTTTAAATGATGATGTTGTCCTAAAACTTTGGCAGTCGTCAGAAATTGCCTCAGATCGCACCACAGGGCACCAAGAATCCATTTTTTAAAGAGGCCCGTAAACGGGCCCCGAACCCCGCGCCGTGTAGGCTTCGCACCTGCACAATTATCACTGATCAAGATACATATGTATGTACCACTCCCACCTTGAGAAGCAACTGACGCCCTCGAGAATTGGTGCCAACAGGCTGTTAGAGCCAGGACCTATACCAGTTGGGCCTGGCTTGATTTGTACACTCCCCCAACAAATGTGTGTTCTGGATGCGTCCTTGTACCCCACTCCCAATTGACCTAATCTATAGCCACAGATTTTTATCATGTTTTTTTTTTTTTAGACATTTTTCGGTTCTTATTACATGATTTTCCTAGTGTATCCAACTTCAGGCGTTGATTACTCATAACATGGTTTTAGGGGACATTAGTCATTTTACCATATTAGGTCACAAATTTGCCCCCCTCGAGATGAAAATAAAACAGCCCTCAAACGCACATGAAAGCATTATGATCGCGTTGAAAATGATCTCCGCTCTTATAATGTAACAGTGCCCCTCAAAAACCCCTCGCGCATTAACAAGATTGTGAACCTTCTCGCGATGGAAAACAATCCCTCGAAAACACGAATGACCCCTCTCGCAATACAAAAATGTGTGCCCCTCTCAACTTCGAGTGGCAGGCTCGTTGGCTCCGTGCGCCGTCATCAGGGGCGTAATTCCCGGGGTGGGGGAGGGATGGGGGTATATATACCCCCCACACTTTTTGACGGCTATTGAATCATACCCTACTTTTTTGTGATGAGAAAAAAATGAGGATTTTGCGGTATTTTCCGAACGTCCAAGCAACT